GACAAGGATTTCAGTCCCATGCAGCATGTCAGAGATCATGCTGCAGTAAATCTATTCAAATGTAAACCTGTTCAATTCAATTACCAGTTTATAATAAAATTTGCTGCTGCAGCCACCACGTTTGTCACAGCGGTCTCTACATGCTGATGGCACAGCATGCCTGGAAATTGACAGCCTAAATCTATTTACAAAAAAAATTTAGTTTGAGACCTGAAATAAAATCAAGTTTTAGCAGCTTTGAGAGGAGCATCATATTCCTTAAAAGAACTTCTGCACATCTGCCAGGGTGTATCTTCTCTAGAAATCTTGTCCTGTTAGCGGGGAGTTTTCTTCTAGAAATTTTCCTTGACAAACAGTTTTTAAATGTAATCCTAAGTGAAACAATTATCAGACATTGCACTTCCCTTCACATTTGGAAGGACTTTTTATTACATTGTCACATAAAATTCATGATAGAAATCACACTGCCTGGAAAAAGATGGTGAGTTTTATTTCAGCTTTTAGGGCAAGGTCCGAAAACCACTTACAGCAAATATATTGAGTGGCTTCTCTTATGACAGCTGCATGTTATATCATTTATTGTCAGAAGATAATGGTGCCTTTCATCCAGCATCTAGTGTTTTTGCGAGAGACCTGGTGTTAGAAATCTGGGACCATGTCTTGAGGTCAAACCCTGGGAGAGATCTCTGGTCACATGTAATACAGGGTGGAGTGGGGAATTTCTGCATATATTCTCAAGGATGTCGATGAGGCATAGCCAGCAATACCTAGATCAAGATTCTTAACATTTTATAAGTCATGGGCCAGAAGCTAGAGAAGGAAGGGTAAGGCAATGTCATACTGGGCTGAGCTGGCGTGGAATTGAAGTCCTGCCTCCTGTCTGCATCTTCTGTTGAGCAGCACGAGAAAGTTACTACAGACTGATCCAGAGGAACACCTTTTTTTGGTTTAGCCCACGGACTGTTACTTGAAAACATGAGTCTAGGTGTATGGAAATCTTTCAAGCATGTGTTGTGCTTTACACTGAAGCATTCAGCAGATGCCGATGAGCTTTAAGGCACATGACAAATATAAGGGTGTCACCTTTTCGTTTACTTTCCTAGATAACGGTTGTTAGCAGCACAGCAGAATATGCTTTACTCAAAAAATTTTACATTTTTGTATTTTTAATTCTGTGTGTCAGTATTATGAAAAATCAGATTTTCAAGGATCATAATTGGTTCTCCTCTTGAAATACAGCTTCTTTGACTGTGCTTATATTTTGATGGATTTTCTCAGATTCACAAGAACAGATAAAACAACATAAGGGGAGAAACTTTTCAAATGTATCCTTAGTGATATCTTTAAATAATATTGCAGTTTCTAAAAGGGAGCAGGAAACAATAATTTGTTCTTTTTAAAAATTAATGCTTTAAGACATTCTCTAGTTTTCAGTTCTGTTGGTTTATAATCAGTCTTTTAAGTTTGGCCTTTCAAACACTTTGGAAGCCAGTGATCAGTTTGCTTCAGGTGGTAGAATTAAATCTAAATTCATGTGCAAGATTGGGTGTTTTAGCTATTTTTCTTTTTATACAGCTAGTTGGAGTGAGAAAAAGGGGTTGATTTTTTTTTTTTTTTATTTTCTAAGAAGGAAAATTGGATGTAAAACTGCCTAAGTTGATATGGGAAATCATAGGTAGATATCTGACTTCTTCCCCCCCCTCCCTATTGCTAGTTGGTCTGGTTGAATTCTACTTTTAGTCTTTCATTAGTACTATATGGCTTTTAATACTATCTGTGGGACTACTTGCTAGCGTGTGTCTGTGATAGAAGATATTATTCCAAGTTTATTACGCTGCAGATCTTGCTCAGAATAGCTACCCACGTGCAATAATTCCACTGGAGTAATTATTCCAAAATAAAAGTACTTTTTGTTTCAGATGCAGCGTTCATATAACTATTATTTCAAGAGGTTAGTCCATATGTTTTAGTTTTCTCCATGGAGGCAAAGCCATAGCCTTTGTTTTATCTGTCCCTATGCTGTTGCAAGGTTAAAAATTACAGTTCAGAGGGGAACCTATTGAGTGGCACTGACGCAGCTTAGACCATCTGAAATATTGTATCCTGTCTTACCTCGCACAGTTCTGAGCAGTGCTTGTTCATACTTCTTACAGGACTGTTGACACCAAAACATCTCCCATATATCTCTCATCTCTGATATCTGGATGTTTTCAAAATTTTTTATGGGTTATTTGTCGTGACTGATCTGCATTGCTTGTTATTTCAGAAAGTGTAGTTCTTGAGTGGGTGATGCATGAAGAAACAAATTTAAGTTTACTTTAAGAGTAAATTATACCATAATGAAATAGCAGAAAATTTGGGTCATTTCACGTAATCGTGTTTGTATTTTCCTTATGAATGGATGGCTTTTACAATTTCTCATCAGCCATTTTGTACCCAGTTAGAATAAAGAGTGTGACAGAATTCCAGCTTAATTAGTCCAGCTATTAAAAATGGGAGGCCAGATCCTCGACTAATATTAATGGAAGCTGATGGAGCTATGCTAGATTGCTGTTCATTT